CTAGTTTTTGCTACTCAACATCCAATTTAAAGAGGTCAGCAAGGAACTTCTGTAATTCTACATTGTATCTTAGTCTCATTATTCTCCTTTCTTCTAATTTGGTATTGATTTCCCTCTTTGTTCTAGCCAGTCAATGATGTTGAGGCAGACAGCTGATTTTGAAATGACTCCTACGTCTGTACCCACCTCCCCCACTATCACTCTTCCTCAATAAAAGTCCCATTCGAGTTTCTTATCACTGATGCCACAGAGGTGATTGCATGTCCTCGAAAGCTCTGCCAAAGCTCTGTCAGTTTCTACCAAGCTGGAAAAGACTCAACTAAGTGCTTATAAAAGTACTTAATTAAGTACAGAGGGGCTCGTCACCAAAATGTTCATCATTAGATGACACCTGAAGAAGTCCAGTTTTGTTAGAATTCTAATTCCATTATTGGGGTGTGGAAAGTTATTTTATTTGATAGTAAAGCATAGGGAAGAACAGGCATTGAAGATGATTAGGTTTTTAGACTAGGTGTCATTCTCAACTCCTACCTCTTTATCTCCCCCATATTCAACCAGTTGTCAAGTCTTATTGTTCCTACCTTTACAACATGTTCCCAGGAGTCACCTTCTCTCTTCTGATATACAACCACCATGGTACAGATACTTATCACCTCAAGCCTGGACTACTGAAACAGTCTATTGGTTGGTCTCCCTGCCTCAAGTCTTTGGGGAAAGACTCCAGTCCATCCACTACCTAGCTGTCAAAGTGATCTTTCTAAAGAAAAGCTCTGGATCTCTTGCTTTGCCCATGCTTGGATTTGGGTCACAGTTCTGTACAGCGGTCCTAGGGCAAAAAGGAGTGCTGGCGTGGTGGAGCTCATAGTGGCTGTGAAGAGTAAACATTCCTCACAGTTCCAGGACAGAAAGGAGTGCTTGTGGTCACTAACAGGCCACAGCACAGGCCAGGAAAGGAGTAAACACCTAACCCCTTATCATACCACCTTGCAAGAACTGGAAATTTACAGGTTCCTACAAGTATCTCTGAAAACAGCTGTATAAACCCCTGAAGTTTGGGACAGTACATTCTCCCCATTGGAAGCAGACTCTTACCTTAACAAAGAGTTTAAAACTCAAGTAATTGGCTGGGATCATGAGCAAGAAGTGCAAAAAAGAGTCAGACTATATTATCTTACTTTGGTGACAAAGAAGATCAAAACATACAACCAGAAGAAGACAAAAAAGTCAAAGCTCCCACATCCAAAGCCTCCAAGAAAAATATGAATCAGTCCCACGCCTTGGAAGAGCTCAAAAGGGATTTTGAGAAGCAAGTTAAGAGAGATCGAGGAGAAACTGGGAAGAGAAATGAGAGTGATGCAAGAAAATCATGAAAAACAAGTCAACAGCTTGCTAAAGGAGACCCAAAAAAATACTGAAGAAAATAACACCTTAAAAAATAGCCTAACCCAAATGGCAAAAGAGGTCCAAAAAGCCAATGAGGAGAAGAATGCCCTAAAAAGAAAAATTGGCCAAATGGAAAAGGAAGTCAAAAGATTACTGAAGAAAATACTTCCTTAAAAATTAGAATAGAGCAATTGGAAGCTAGTGACTTTATGAGAAATCAAGACACTGTAAAACAAATCCAAAAGAATTAAAAATAGAAAACAATGTGAAATATCTCATTGGTAAAAAACTGACCTGTAAAATAGATCCAGGAGAGAGAATTTCAAAATTCTTGGACTATCTGAAAGCCATGATCAAAAAAAGAGCCTAGACATCATCTTTCAAGAAATTATCAAGGAAAACTACCCTGATATTTTAGAACCAGAGGGCAAAAAGAAATTGAAAGAATCCACCGATCTCCTCCTGAAAGAGATCTCCAAAGGAAAACTCTTAGGAATATTGTAGCCAAATTCCAGAGTTCCCAGGTCAAGCTGCCAGAAGGAAATAATTCAAGTATGTGGAAACACAATCAGGATAACACAAGATTTAGCAGCTTCTACATTAAAGGACCACAGGGCATGGAATATAATATTCCAGAGGGCAAAGGAGATAGGATTACAACCAAGAATCACCTACCCAGCAAAACTGAGTATAATCCTTCAGGGGAAAAAATGGTCATTCAGTGAAATAGAGGACTTTCAAGCATTCTTGATGAAAAGACCAGAGCTGAATAGAAAATTTGACTTTCAAACACAAGACTCAAGTGGACCATGAAGAGGTAAACAGGAAAGAGAAATCATAAGAGACTTATTAAGGTTGAACTGTTTACATTCCTGCATGGAAAGATGATATTTACAACTCATGAGACCTTTGTCAGTATTAGGGTAGTTGGTGGGGGAAAAATTATATGCATAGATAGAGAGAGAGAGAGAGAGAGAGAGAGAGAGAGAGAGAGAGAGAGAGAGAGAGAGAGAGATAGATAGATAGATAGGTAATAGATGACAGGATGAGTTGAAGATAAGGAGTCATATCTGGAGAATAAAATTAAGGGATGAGAGAGGATTATACTCGGAGAAGAAGAAAGGGAAAGGTAGAATGGGGTAAATTATCTCACAAAAAAAACAGAAAAGAAAAGGCTCTTACAGTGGAGGGGAAACAGGGGAAGGTGAGAGGTAATGAGTGAATCTTATTCTCACAGGATTTGGCTTAAGGAGGGAATAACATGCACATTCAATTGGGTATGGAAATCTGTCTTACCCTATAGGAAAATGGGGGGGGGAAAAGAGCAGGGGGATGATAGAGAGGAGGGAGATGGGAAAGGGGGTAATCAGAAGCAAATACTTCTGAGGAGGGACAGGGAAAAGAAAGAATAGAATAAATGGGGGTACAGGAGAGGATTAAGGGCAATAGAATTAATTTTTCACAACATATCTACTATGGAAGTGTTTTGCATAACTGCATATGTATAATCTATATTGAGTTGCTTGCCTTTTCAATGAGGGTGGGTGGGGAGGGAGAAGGGAACACAATTTGAACCCAAAGTTTTAAAAAAACATGTTTTAAAAAAATGTTTTCACGTGCAACTGGGAAATAAGAAATACAGGAAATGGGGTACAGAAGTCTATCCTGCCCTACAGGAAAACTAAAGAGGAAGAGGATAAGAGAAGGGGGATAGAGATAGAAGAGAGGGCAGAGTAGGGGAAGGGATACTCAGAATGTTTGCCATCTTAGGCTGGGGGGAGAGGCGAGATGGGGTGAAAATTTGGAACTCATAATCTTGTGGAAGTAAATGTTGAAAACTAAAAAATAAATAAATTTATATTTAAAAAAAAGAAAAGAAAAGAAAAGCTCTGAACATGTTGCTCCCTATTCAACAAACGCCAGTTGTTACTACCTGCAGCATCATACATAAAATCTTCTTTCTGGCTTTTAAATCCCTTTGTAACCTAGCCCCTTCCTAGCACTGCTTTCCTAGTCTTCTAACACTTTTTTTTTGCCTCTAAGCAGTGTGTGATCCAGTGACATTGGCCTCCTTACTGTTTCTTGAGCAGGACAGTCCATCTCCCAACTGAACATTTTCACTGGCTGTCCCTCATGCCGAATCTCCTTTCTTATCTCCATTTCCTAGTTTCCCTGATTTCCTTCAAGTCTCTGCTACAGTTCCATCTTCCTCTAGAAGCCTTTTCTAGTCCTCCTTAATCTCAGCACCTTCTATGTGAGACTACCTCCAATTTAACCTGCAGACATCTTGTACATGGCTCTTTGCATGCTATCTCCCCCTTAGACAATGAGCACTCACTATATTTTGCCTTTTTATCCCCCATACTTATCACAGTGCCTGGCATGTACAAGGCTTCTAATAAATGTTTGACAGTTTATTTGATCTTGAATGAATTATTCTCTGAGTCTCAGTTTCCTCATCTGTAAAAATAGATATAATAATATAATACCTACCTCACAGAGTTGTTGTTTTAGGAAAATACTCATAAATTTTAAAGTGCTCTCCAAATAGTTATTGTCAATACAACTGTTATTGTCTTTTATTGCTGCAAAAATTTTTAGGCCAATCCTAAATCCAATTCAATATATTTAATTACAGGAAATCTAAAGGAAGGAAAGACTATTCAAATTCAAATTCAAAAGGAGGGGGAAATGCAATAGCATTAAATTAGAATACCCCAGTGCCACAGGTAGACTCAGGTTACCCATCAGAGATAATCTGAGCTCCCATGAAGTACCTACAACTAATTCTGCTTCCCAGTGATTCTCTATCCTGGGAATGGTGGCCAAATTCTGTGGTTAGGAGAACCCCCTTGTGAACCATGGCTCACCTTGCTAAGTTCTATTTAATGTCTGCTCACATTGTGGCAGCTGTTCAATACTTTCCAAGGACTCTACAAGGGTCCTAGGAAGTCGGTAAGAAACCTAGCTGATACATAAAAGGAGACTGATAAAAGCAGAATGTATTGGATTGAAGCCAACATCCATTCATTAAATATTCATTAGGCTCCTACTATGTGCAAGGCATCATGTGTGGATACAAAGAAAATAATAAATACTCCTTAACCTCAGGGAGTATATAATCTAAATGTCCACAAATACCTACTTGTAAGTACTAAGTGCTAATTTAGCTCAGGGGAAGGAATTTCTGTTTTGAAAGATAGGTGAAGTCTCACAGAGCAGATAATATTTAAGCTCATACTAGGAGAGTAGATAGAAGCTAAAGTGGGAATGCATCCATGATAGAGGAGGCAAACATAAGCACAGACATAAATGGAGGAAATCATGGAATATTTCAGGAACAGCAAAAAAAAAAATCCAAAAAAACAGGGGCATCTTATTCTTGCCCAAAAGCAAAAGACAAGGGTCTTTTCTTAATATCTGAAAAGGTTTTTGTATCCTTCAATTGATATCCTCAGACGATACAGAAGCCCAAATTCTTACTTGGCCTTACTACTATAATCAATTGAAATAACTACTTTCTGACACCTGCCCAGGCAATAAGAAGGATGCCTCTCCACATATGCACCAGAACAGGAAAGGACCTAAAAATCTACCATTCCATTACTGAGACTTACCATGGTAGCTGTGAATGGAATATTATCGATCAAGGAGGAAGCCAGAGCTGAGATCCAGACAACTAAGATGATGGCAGCAGTGAGGCGCTGATCTTCTGGAACCATCTAACAAGGAAAAATCATAGCAACACTTCATTTAAAAAGGAAATATACAACTTTCATTTTCCAATCGCATTTTTTCAAACTTCAGACTTAAAGAACATTAAGAGTAAAGGGGGTTAAAAGTAGAGGCTTCAATGCCAAACCTTTCTTTTTACAGATGAGGAACCCAAGAAAGTGAATTTTTTCCCAAAGTTGCACAATTAGTTGTTAGTTGTAGAATCAAGAATAGCACTAACACAATCAGAGAGGCAGGACAGTCCATCCACAAGGGCAAGAAGGCAACATCTGTTGACAACAGCCATAATAAGGGTGTTGGTGCCTCTCCTAGATTGCCTATAATCAGCATACAAAAACAAAGAACTTAAATCTCAGGAATGGGGATTAGGAAAACTAACTATAGTGCAGTTGTAGAGGGACACTCAAACATCAACTATGAGCTCTGGAGGGGAAGTTTGGGGGAGAGTGAGGGGAATATGGGGGAATGGAGTGGGGGGAGAGAAATGAGGGAGAGAAGGTGGAAAGGGAGAGGGGGAAGAGACAGAGAGAGGAGAAAGGGAAAGGGAGAGCGAAGGAGGAGAGAGAGAGAAGGAGAAAGGAGAGAGACAGAGAAGGGCAAGATTCAGAGAGAAGAGACAGAAGGAGAGAAACTGAGACTGAAGATGAAAGATCTCTGTCACAGAAAAGTTTGGCTCTAAGTGTCTAAGTGTTTGAGGTTTTTGGGTCACCTTTCTATGTCTGTGTTCCTTGAGTTTTGTATATTGGGCTGTTCTGGAAGCTGCACAAATATTATCTAATCTTGGGACTAGTCAGTGACATCCGAGTGATGCATGAAGGCAGCAAAAGCTCTATCCTTGAGAATGCCTTCTGGGTCGTTCCATAATTTTTCCAGTCATACATATGTCAGAAATAACAGGACCCTGGGAGTCAGTGTTATTGGAGTTTGACAATTAGATGCAAAAGTCTCTGTACCCTAGTTCAGGGGTCAACGAACTATGGCTTAAGGGCCAAATCTGGCCCAGCACTTTTTTTTTAATGTGGTTATGAGCTAACAATATTTTTATTTAAGTTTCATAGGATTTTAAATTGTAAAAAACCTATTCTAAACTTGTAGGCCATACAAAATAGGCCATAATTCGCTGACCCATGCCCTAGTCCAGTACTCACAGGACATAATTCTATATTTCCAGATAGAAGTAGTCTCAACAGCCCCTCTCACCCTTCCAAAACCATTAGGAAACTGGGGCTACTCCAGCTTCCTGGAGAGGGGAGTACTAAATAATCATGTCGGTTCATTGAAGTATCTCCCCCACCCACCCCTGTCAAACAGGATATAAAAGCTAGATTTAGAAAAGTTTGGAGGGACAAAGGACTTTTGAGGTTACTTAATAAAATTCTCTCACTTTACATAAGAGAAAATTGATACTCAAGTTAAATTATTTGCTCAATATCATACAGTTATTTATTCAGGTCTCATCAATATGGTGATCCTTTGGAGAACCTATACACAGAACATCAGTTCATTAGTCCTGGGTTTGGGTAATTATAACAGCAAGTTTATCTGAATCAAATCCCTGGTTGCCTAGTTACATGGACAGATAGGATATTGTTCAAAAGCATAATTATTTCTAACCTAACACTTGTAGCAGACGTATAATTATGCCCTTTCTCTTTAAAAAAAAAAAAGCTGCCCTTTTTTTTTTTTAAGAGAGTCTGATAGAATGGATCCCCTTTGGTCACTTACTGTATAATCAATAAAAATAGTTCATGCTAGCTTTTGTATAAAACAGAAAGATCAACAAAAACATTCACATGGTTTGGTTGACATACTTTAAACTTTGACATTCAATGTTACCTTTATTAGCAAAGCTGTCTGTTCTCCAATATATTCTATCAGGTGGAGATGAGCCAAGGCCTAAAAGAAATGGATTGATCACAAGTGACAATATAGAAAAGAGCATACACATCCACTATTTTTAAAAAAGTCATGTCTTTAAAATGAGAAAAGTGAAATAGAACATATGCCAAAACTGTCTTTTCATACAAAAGGTCAGAATCAAATACATTATACATAAATAATTCACCAACTTACATGCATATCGCAGTGCTAGCAAGCAAAACAGTGCAATAGCAAGAGCAGATGCCCCTCAATGATATGTGTTTCAGTCAGTGCTGAGCTGAATTTCAAATAGAAGATTCCTTTTAAAAAAAAAATACACATAGTAGCACAACTCTGTGCTGAATGAATGAGTGAAGGAATAAATAAATGGGGGGAAAATTACCAAGCATTTACTAAAGAAAAAGGACTGTGCTAAAAAATTTGGAATACAAATAGAAAAGCAAAGATAGTCCCTAATCTCAAGGAGTGTACACTCTAATAGGAAAGACAGCACCTCCAACAGGTTCCAGGCACAAGTTAGTTGGAAAGACCCCATGAGTCTTTAGGGTACCAGTAGGAAAGCAAATAACAGGGCAACTAGGAGGTAAAGTGAACAGAGTGCTAGGCCTGGAGTCAGGGAGACCTGAGGCCAAATCCAACTTCAGACCCTTCCTAGTTGTGTGACCTTGGGCAAGTCACTTAACCCTGTTTCCTCATCTGTAAAACTGAGCTGGAGAAGGAAATGGTAAACCACTCCAGTATATTTCCCAAGAAAACTGCAAAGGGGGTCATGAAGAGTTGGACATGATTGAAAAATGATTGAATATCTTCAATGAACATGTTGTTTCCCCAATAAGAATGTGAGCTCCTTGAAAGTAAAGTATGTATTTACATGTCTTTGCATCCCCAGCATTTAGCACAGTACCTAGCAAAGTAAGCACTTAATAAAGGCTTGTTGACTGACTCACCAACTCACTGTTCTCTGTTGGTAAAACACTTCTGTATTGGAAAAATCTTTCAAATAATTTGCCTCTCCAAGTTATTTTATAAAGTTATATTTCACAATTAGATTTGCATACTCAAGAGTAAGAAGAACTTGCTGGCAAGTTTCCCATCATGGAGGGGAAAATCTGATTAAATAAAATTTTTAGAAGCCTCTAATCACAGAATGTTAGAATTGGCAAGAAATTAGGAGCTCATCCAGCACAGCTCTCTCTGTTTTAGATGAAGAAATTGAGCCTCTTAAACATGAAGTGACCTTCTCAAAATCTGACAGCTAATTTTTCAGGATCTCATAATAATTATCTTCCTTTTTAAAATAGTATTTTATTTTTTCCAATTACATGTAAAGACAATTTGTAACATTCATTTTTTTAATTTGATTTCAAATTTTTCTCCCTCTCTCCCTCTCTTCTCCATCCCTCCTCTCTACCTTCCTAAAAGGCAAGAATTTTAAATAGGTTATATATGTGCAATCATGTAAACATGTTTCCATGTAAGTCATGTTGCAAAAAAAGAGTCAGACCAAAATGAAAAAAACCACAGAGATAAATAAAGTGAAAATCGTATGTGTCAATCTGCATTCAGACTCCATCAGTTCTTTCTCTGGATATGGATGCATTTTCCATCACAAGTCCTTTGGAATTGTCTTGGATCATTGTATTGCTGAGAAGAGCTAAGTTATTCATAGTTGATCATTACACAACATTGCTGTTACTGTGTACAATGTTCTCCTGGTTCTGCTCACTTCACTTTGTATCAGTTCATGTAAGTCTTTCCAGGTTTTTCTGAAATCTGCCTGCTCATCATTTTTTTAAAACATAGTATTCTGTTACATTCATATACCACAATTTGTTTAACCATTCCCCAACTGATGGGCATCCCCTCAATTTCTAACTGTTTGCCACCACACAAAGGGCTACTATAAATATTTTTGTACATGTAGGTCCTTTTCCTTTTTTTATGATCTCTTTGGGATATAAATCCAGTAGTGGTATTGCTGGCTCAAAGGGTATACACAGTTTGATTTCCCTTTGGGCATACTTCTAAATTGCTCTCCAGAATGGTTAGATCAGTTCACAACTCCACCAACAGTGAATTAGTGTCCCAATTTTCCCATATTCTTTCCAACATTTATCATTTTCCTTTTCTGTCATATTAGCCCATCTCATAGGTGTGAAGTGGTATCTCAGAGAACACCTATTTTCAAGAGGCTTGAGATCTCCAACAAAAACATATCCAAAAAAATCAAAGGGTTCATAAGCTCTAGCAAGCCCTAGACCTACTACCAGGAAGACCCAAATCTAGCCTCAGACTCTTACTACTGTATATGACCCAGGACCAGTCGCTTAACTTCTCTCTCAGTTACTCATCTGTAAAAATGGGGGTAATAATAATAGCACCTATCTCCTAGGGTTGCTAGAAGGATAAAATTATAATTCTTGTAAAGTACTTTGCAAACCTTGCAAAATTTTTAAATAGTAGTTTTTATTATTATTCTTAAACTGAGGTCTATAGGCCCCAAGCATTCAGTGGATAGAATTCAGGGGTCCTTGAATTTGGATGGGAAAAAATACATCTTTATTTAGAATATAATTTGTTTCCTTTGTAATCCTATGCATTTTATTTTATTCATTTAAAACATCATGGTGAGAAGGGATTAGTGAAAGCTGTCAGGTCACTCTCTCTTCCAGAGTCAATGGAGCATAATGGCAAGACAAAAGTCAAGATGACTGGCAATGGCTCAGGATACATTGGATGACCTTGGCCTTTCTAAATTAAGGTCTGTCCCAGGCCTCAGTTTGTCTGAAGCAAAGCCCATTTGATAACTAAAGGCTAGATAATAATTGCTCCATAGGCTTCATCTGAGTGCCAAAAAGGTTCATGACACAAAACAGATTTAAAAAAAAAGAAAAGAAAAGAAAAGAGAAGAAAAAACCCTGATCTTCTAATCCTTCCAACAACCAGCATTGTTTTTGACCATGTGACCCCAAGTCACCAGTACTCAGTCCTTTCGTGTATTCTATGACTAATATATATCACGAATGTCAGAGAAAGATATTAGCAGCAGCTGCTCCACGTTTGTTCCCAGAGTTCAACTGCCCTACTTTCCTAACATCAGATAGAGGCTGCCTATTCAGGATTAGATAAAGAAAACTGTATCATGTGTATTTGTTCCTGGAAGAATTTGATTCCTGGGAAGAGTCCCTTGTCTGAAACACTGGAATATCATTTGCTTTTGTCCATTGTAAGGGTCCCCAGACTATTGAGCGGCAGGATCTTGACACCTTTAATACCAGCTTACCTGAGAGAATAGGGAATGACTTTGGCAGTGTTATCAAAAATAGCTGTCATTGACCTTGCATCCATTATCCCTGTTCACCTTTTTAGTATGTCTTATGCCCAAGTCCTCAAATACTTTAAATTACAGCCCAATGCAAATGATGTTCCCCAAGGGGAAATACTGCACAAGAAAGGCTGGACAGCCAAGGAAGCCAACTCCCCACAGATGCATTCCTCTACCCCAATGAGCCTTGCCCTCTTGCTCTCTATCCCTATCAAAATACTCAGTTCTGGGGCAGCTGGTGGCACAGTGGATAGAGCACTGGCCTTGGACCTAGGAGGACCTGAGTTCAAATCTGGCCTCAGATGCATACTCATTTCTATAATCATAGTGTAAGGACCTGTTTAAGAAATACCAGCCCAGAGGTCTCAACTCCTCAACTATCTCCATTCTCATAAGTTACCTTAGGGTAGGAAAGAGGTTCCAGCCTTCATTAGGGTTAATGTAACAGTGACTGTTTTCCTGATCTCACAGCTCTCTAGTGGTTGGAGAAGAAAGAGAAGGAGAAAAAGAAGAGAAGGAAATATTAACATTTCCTAGATCAGTGCTCTGTGTCAGTATGAGATATAATGCTGCCCACTCTAGGCTTGAGGTAATAGAGGCCGATCAGCAAAAGAAAGACTAGGCAAATTCTACAGCTTTCCAATTCCTCTTAAGATACACCTCTTTGCTATAGTTTCATTCATTGAGAGTATTATGCATTCTCAAATAAGATACAATAAAGGCATGTACAAAACATATCACAAAGTCAAATGAATGTTTTTAATTATCTGCCATTTTTAATTATCCACATCACTGCTCCCCTCCATTCATATATGTAATACAGTTGACTAGTCTATACAAAGATGAAGATATATTTGTTTTTATTCAGCAGTCTCAGCAGGTAGACACCAAGACAAATCTTCAGAGTATCAAAAATATCTTGGTTTCTGTGAGAATAAACCAGTAAAAATTAACCAAGAGAAAATCAACCATCTAATCTCTTTATGCTAATTTGATTCATTTTTGGAAAGGCCCAAGTTGGCCAATGTTCATTCCCCTCCTGGCTCTGCTCCTGACTTTCTGAACTTTGACCCCATACAGCTACCCGTCCCCCCTTCTTGGCTCTTTTTTTCTTTTATCTTTCCTCAGGAGAATACAAGCTCCTTAGTTTTCTTTTTGTTCACATCTTTATCCCCAGCACTTAGATGAGCACTTGGTACATAATAAGTGCTTAATAAATACTTGCTGCTTTCCCTAGATGAGTAGAGAGTCATGAACAAAACAGTCATCCTATTGCCACGTAAGCCTCACTAAATCCCAGGGTAGTTTTGCAGAGCTCACAATTGCTGAAGGCTAAAGCTATCCCAAGACTCATAATTAATTGACAATTTTAGTGGATCTATAATCTCATGAATTTGGATATTCTACCAAATAAGAAGGATCACAGCCCATCCATATCTTATCCACCTTGATGCTTATAAACTCCTTTAAAAATCTATATATTGTTCTAGAGTCTTATAGGTTTAGACACTTATGCCTTTTAACATTGTGAGAGTATCAGCACAAAACTTGGGCAGCACTGGTAAAATGGATAAAACAAGATGAATAATAATTATAAGGTGAATAATAGTTCACCTTTAAATAGACCTTTAGAGTTTATAGAGTGCTTTCTACCTGACAACCCAGTGAGAAAGACAATGCCACCTGATAG